GACTAAATGCTGTGACCAATTTTGACCTAAGTCGTTACATTAAATGGCTAAAACCTAATAAGAACAATCAATCAAACCCTAATGTTGAAACTAACATGATTCCAACTCCAAATCATAGTATTGGATCGACCACGATCGTGACCACGACTTCATCCTCTACGGCTCTTGTTTATCCAGATTCACAACTTACTACAAACACGTCTATTTCAGATGTCTCAATTTCTCAAATTAATCGACCATCTTCTGCTACGTCAGCTCTCGGACTGTTGCTCCAATCTACGAAGTTCAAGGAAATGATGGAAATGACGTTAGCGGCCGAGTGCCCGCCCGCACCGATCGAATTACCCGACCCGGATCCACCACAAAGTAGTAACTTCCCTGAGGATATAAAAACTTATTTTGATACTCAAGAATTTGGTAATTTTGGTCATGAACAAGGAGAGGATTTGGTCTTTAATGAGATCAATTCCTTAATGCAACCCCATTTACAATTTGATTATGATGCTTAATTAGTCAAAGATAAATTGATATAGTTTCAATTACCCAAATGTGATTTAGGTAAAACAAAAATATGAGGAGAATATGTATTGATTATTGGAGAATATTATTTGTAGATAGATGAAATAATTTTCTTAATTCTCATCAACATTAATATTTAAGTTGTTTATTATGATCATTTGTAATAATAATTTTCTTTTCTCATATTTCGTTTTATATAAGTTGATTATCATAAGTCATTTTTTCTTTAATTAAATTAAAGTTTTGTGGTTTTGGAGGATTTTGGAATTGACCCTATATTTATCTATTCGTATTTCATATGAAATTGTGTTGAAATGGAAATTCTAATGTTGTGAAAACGTAATTAATGGTTAGAATAACATGTTATTAATCCTTTTTACTTATTTTCTTAAAATTTCATATTAAATCAAAATTTGGAACGAATGAAGTACTATCGATAGAAAAAAGTAATTCTTCTTCATTGGAAAGAGAGAAATAACTTTGCATCTCAAAAATAATTTTCAAATATATTAACAACTCTACAAATATAAAAACTAAAAAATAAACTTTAAATGAAAAATAAAAATTTTATGATTTTCAATTTATTTTCGACTTTAGGCCACTGATATGCCTGATTTATCCTGTATACACTAATAGCCAAAACATGAATACCTTGAATAATTCCCTTTTAAATAGAAACAATTTCATATTCTATAAGAACTTATCCGTATAAAATTCTTTATTATTATTTTTTTCTAAAAAAATCAGTATCAATCAAAAATAATTACATATATATATTAATAATTCCGCAATTTTATAAACTAAAATGTTGCTTAATGGCAAACAGTTTGGATCGGTACTAACTTGTACCCTATTAGCTAACTTGTTACGATAAAACTATCATAAAATAGCACAAAAAAATCAATAAAAAATAACTACACCAAAACTGTAAAAAAAAAAAGTTGAAAATTGCCTAAATTAATCTTTTCCTTTCTAATCCAAATTACAAAATCAAAGTGGGATTATCGAAATTAATCTTTTTCATATTAAATTCTAATTCCCTAATCCAAATCATACATTACATAGGATAACCAAAACATTCCTATAAATACACTCACTTCTTCTCTAATTCTTTATTTTAATTTACAAACCCTAAAATTTTAGCATTGAAAATTTATATTATAGTCTTTCTCTACTTATTTATTTTTTTGGAATTGTTATGGATCTATCAAATTATGAATATGATCGTCAATGGAAGAATATGTTACCGATGGGCTTCCATTTTATTCCAACGGAAAAAGAATTGGATATGTATTTGAAACTTAAAGCTTCTAATGGTTATATTCCACCTGGAATTTTTACTAATCTTGATATTTACGAATATGAACCTCATCACCTATCTGGTACACATTCTTATCCTTAGCTAGTAATTTTTTTTTAGTTAAAAAAATTTCCTCTTGTTTTTTGGATTTTTTTTTTAAAAAAATACTATATGAAATTTTTGGGTATTTTTGTTAAAGAATGACAAAAATCTCAAATCAGTGATTAATGAGATGAATGAACACCTTATAAGGCTTGAGCAATCCCCCTCTTTTTGAGCTAGCTTTTGGGGTGTGAGTTAGGCCTAAAACCTAATTTCACACGGTATCAAAGCAGGCCCGTCTCACCCGATGTTATGATCCCTCAAAATCAATATTATCCACGCACCAGATGCTAAGCACTGGACGTGAGGTAGGGTGTTAAAGAATGACAAAAATTTTAAATCAGTAGTTAATGCGATGGGTGAACACCTTATAAGGCTTGAGCAATCCTTCTCCCTTTGAGCTAGCTTTTGGGTTGTGAGTTAGGCCTAAGACCTAATCTCACATGGTATCAGAGCAGGCTCGTCTCACCCGATATTGTGACCCCCAAAATCAATATTGTCCACGCACCAGATGCTAAGCACTGGACGTGAGGTGGAGTGTTAAAGAATGACAAAAATCCCAAATCAGTGGTTAATGAGATGGGTGAACACCTTATAAGACTTGAGCAATCCTCCTCCCTTTGAGCTAGCTTTTGGGGTGTGAGTTAGGCCTAAGACCTAATTTCACAATTTCTCACTAGTTTCTTACCATAATTGTATCTTACTTTCTGCTAGTTTCTTAAGATAGATATACATATATACACATGATTTTTTTTTAAAGTTAATAGGTGCACATGTGGATCTGCTTCTGACTTGTGTGAACTTCTTTGTATTTCAAATTTAACTTTTTTATCGCGATTTCATTGATTAAGAATATTATATTAATTTGAGTTTTATTTTGTTTGCCAGGTTTTGCTGAAAAACATTGTAATGGACGTATGTATTTTTTTACTTATGTAAAAATGAAATTTGGTAACGGGAATAAAATTGCAAGAAATTTACATTCAGGAAAAGGTTATTGGAAATCTACACAAGCACGTAAAAATATAGAAGAAAATGATAATACAATTGGAACAAAAACTCCACTTACGTACTATAAACAAAGTCCAAATAATTCAAAAGCCAAAAAAACTTCTTGGCTTATGTCAGAGATCAGATTACCTATCAATTCTCCATTACTAAACAATAAGGTATGCAACCTTTTATTTAATTTTTTTTTTCAAGTATATTCTTTGATTACATTTGACTAATTTTTTTTTTTTGATTTTTGTAGTCGGATTATGAGTTAACACTTTGTGTGATATACTATAAAAAGGGAAAGAAGAAGAATGATAATGACGATAACAACGATGATAATGAGAATGATGCTGATAATGAGAATGAGATTGAGGATGATAATGAGAATGACGATGATCAATTTTTTAATAATTTATCATCGTCAAACGAATATTTGTTGCAACAATATCAACCACTTGTGGATGTTACTGACATTGCTTCCACTTCAACCATGCAACCAATTAGTTTTTCTCATCAACTACCTTTTGATCATAATTATTCAACTATACAAAATCATAATTTGTATGGATATGATCCAAATATATATCCATATCTGAATTATGATAACTCTACTTATATAGGAGATGAAAAAATAGATTCAAATACTATTATTGTTGATCCAATTGATCAAAATACATTGGAAATATGTGTGGCTCCAGTTTCTCAAGATGATCAAAAACCATCGATTGATAATCAAGATTATGATGATCATCAACAATTCAAGACGAAGAAGATTAAAAGATAGAAATTTTAGACATAGGTTATGATACAATTTTAAATATATTTATATAATGTATTGATTTATTTGAAAGAATATTGTATACTATTTTTGTTTATGCACATGTACATTTAAATTTTAATATGATATAAGCCTATATGGTATAATTAAGTACTGTTGTTATCCACGTACTCTCAAGTAACTAACTTTTGTTTTCATGTATATTTGCATGTAGACGATAAAGGGGGTGAGGTCACAAAAATGTTTTTTTTTACGCATGTTTAAATTTGGAAAATGATCGATTATCTTTTATTCTGAGCGGTTTGAGTATATTAGAGGTCAAAAGTCAAAATTGATATCTGGAGCCCTTAAAACATTCTAATTGAAGTCTATTTTTCTAGTTCTTTTTTTTTTTTTTAAAAAAAGAGAGTTGTTAGTATATTTGAAATTATTTTTGAGATACAAAATTATTTATTTCTTTTTAATGAAAATATTTACTTTTGTTTTTCCCTAAACCGATTCTATCATTTGTGAGAATTTGACTTTGACGCGAAATTTTAAAATATAAAGAAGATTTTCAAATTTTATATTAAAGTTAAAGACTCCTATTCTACGTCAAAATATTTTTTAATCTGTATACGCTATAATAAAAATAACTTTTAGCGACACTTAAATATTGATATTGATAAAGGGTGCTAAAATCTTTAACGGCATTAGCTAAGCATTATTAAAACCAATATCGCTAAAGGTTTTAGAAACATATACAAAGAGTGAAAATTGTCGCTAAAAATACACATATAATGGCAATTAAAAAGTAATTACCGCTAATGATATTTTGTTGAAGTGATATTGTACAATTGTTAATGCAACTAAGATATATTCTAAATTAATTGATACTCCCTCCGTTCGATATTGTTTGTAATGATTTTTATTTTTAGATTTAAATTATAAAAACTTTGACTAACATTTTAAGATATATTTTTTATTATATTAATATGCAAAAAAAATTGCAATTTATAGTACTTTTCATATAGTTTTAGAATATTTAATTTTTTTTATTTAAATTATCAAATTAATATGATCTAATTTAACTTTGAAATTAATCAAACTGATTTTCAAAAAGCGCAACATGACAAACAATTCGGAACAGAGGAAGTATGAAGTAGCACCACAAAGACAAAACTTGAAAACAAGAATATTGGAATCTTAGAAAAATTGAATGCAAGTGCTTTCAGATTTCTTTCTTTGCTTTGCATTAAAGTTTCTTAAGACTTAAGTTAACCCACAAATTCCTCCATATTTTTCATTATAACATCTCATTTAATCCATATTTATTTTTGCCATTCAATTGCATAAATTAAGTTGACAAATAATTAAAAGATATACTTAATTAATTAATTATTATGGCTGATGATGAACAGAGGAAGCCAACTACCAGAAGAACACCTCTTAGCCAAATAGATGAGGTATGTATTTTACTTTTTTATACTCTAATCTTGTGTTTAAAATTTAATTCTTGTTGTATGTTCGTGACAGAGCCAAGATTTTTACTTAGGAGAATTAAAATATAATTTAGGGAAAAGACTGAAATATGTAATCGAGCTTTGATAAAATACTAATCGATGTCATCTATTAAAAGTTCGGATCATCATTCATCTATTTCGTCATTATTTGTTAACTGAAATGACATAGATGAGTCGAATTTTTAATCGATGACTTAGACGATAAACTTTTTGTCAAAGTTTGATGACATATTTGAGTCTTTCTCTTTAATAAAATGATTTCATTAATGACGTCGCCACCACGTGTAAAAGATGGTTTTGCAAAAATAGAAATTGTTTTCCGTTAACAAATAATTGCATGGGTAAGCATTTTTTTCAAATGAAAATGACGTAGATAAGCCAAATTTTTAATGGATAACATAAATAGACATTTTTTCAAAGTTTGATGACATATTTAAACTTATTCCTGTAATGTATACCTTGCAAGAAAATTTGACATATTTATATACATAAATACGTAAAAAGATTATTATTTTTTGCGACTGACGAAAAAGGAATTAACAATTTGCATGGAAATAAATGTGTGTGATATTTCAGGAAAGGGTATGTATTATGTTGTCTATGGATGAAACTGAAAGTGAAAGTGAAGATGAGGAAATTACTGCCTCTGATGAAGAATTTTTAGACAGTGAAATTCAAGGTAATTAATAAATTTAATTACCTTATTCTATAATGGTCTCGAGTTCAAGTTTTTGAGGTATGAAATAGACTTTTATTCATAGATTTCGAGTTAGAATTCTACGACGATGACTATGATGATGATAACATGGAGGAAGATGATGTTGATCCAGATGAATTATCTTATGAGGTATATAATATGATAAATTTGTAACGTTTTAATATGATAATTTGTAATGTTTAGTTCAAAAAATAATACTTTTTAAGTTATATAAATGTTGTTACAGGAATTAATTGCTTTAGGAGAATTTGTTGGAGTAGAGAACAGAGGATTAACTGAAGAAGAAATCAACAAATCCTTACATTCTTCAACATTTCAATCCAATAATTCCAAGACACTTGTCAACAAGTAAGTAGTCGAAAATTAGATATTAATTAACCAAAAAAAAAATTCAATCGTTCAATCATTCTTATAATAATTTTAGTTATTTTTTTCACGTGATCAACATGACATTTAAGACGTGATTATCACCTCTTGGTTATTAGATTTTTTTTTTGATTTTTTATATAGAGTTTGATACCAGTATTATTGTCGATTGACTAATATGTTTGCATAACATTTAAGGGAAACGACTGAAATTAGTGATTTATAACAGATTGAAAAAGTGATTTTTTTTAATGAACATATAGGTGTGTTGTGTGTCAATTGGAATATGAAGAAGGAGAGAAGTTAGTAGCACTTCCATGTGATCATCCCTACCATTTAGATTGTATTAAAAAATGGCTTCAAATAAAGAAGGTAAATTTAATTGTTAAATACTCTTAATTTATATTATTAGCCTATTTTTTTTTAATGTTTAATATTTATATATTTATTTTTCTTTTGTAGGTTTGCCCAATATGTAGTGATGAGGTCTCATCTACTAATGTTCCCAAGGAACTATAGCTCTATGTCACTTGTATTATAAACCAAATTATTGTATTGAAATTAATCAAAAGATTTATTGAATGTGTCAAGGGAAATTTGGAACATGGATTAAATGCACAATTTTTTCAAAAAAAAATGTTGTACTAACATAATTTCTATTTGAATTAAGGGGTATGACCTTCATATTCTCTGTTTATAAATGTATGTTGTATATGGACTTCTAACAATTTAGAAAATAATTTACTTTCGCTTCTAAGCTGATTAAAGACGGATTCAGAATTTGAAATTGATGTGTTTCTACAACGATTTGACATATATTGATAAATATTTAGTAAATTATTTGGTTTCACGTGAACCTGTAATCAACCTTTTCAGATCCACCCCTAAAGCTGATTTGTGTAACTTGTCAAGTATCGCGCGGTAAAATTTGCAAATAAGAAAATAATAGTTGTAAGTTCATACATCTTATGATCTCAACTAAGAGCTTGTTGTGATTGACTTGTTTAAGTGTTTTAAAGCCAAAATTGCTTTTAAGCACTTTTGAAGTGTTTGAGTAACACAAAAAAGTGCTTATACGCACTTAGTTTTAAGGCAAAATGGTTAAAAAAAAACCGAAGCCAAAAACCAAAAGTCCATCCAAACAGGAGCTAAGTGTTCTCAAAGCTATAGAACAAAACAATGCTTCCTTGAATTTCAAAGAAGATTAATCTGGACCATGTACAATAGGAAAACCTATAAAGAAGAACAGAAGAAACTTTCTACAAAAACAAAATAGTATAGTACAACGCTTGTTTTTTTTATGATCGCAGTGTCCGAGTCAACTTGCATCATATACCGTGACCATTCCATGGGGTACTTGATATCTCTAAACAATATAGATATTAGATAACTCTATCCGCCAAATTTTAAACAGATAGACAAATATCACCTAGTCATGTTTTGACATAGAACAAAACAATGCTTCCTTGAATTTCAAGGAAGATTTGGGGCATATACAAATGGATATATGGACTATCAAAGCCTAAAAAGAAAGAACAAAAGAAACTCTCCACAAAAATGAAATAAAATAGTACTATAGTGCAAGTAAAAGGCAAAAAAAGCCTTTTTCTTCTCCTTTCACATCAACCACCTCCAACGAGCGTGTGTCTGATCCTTCAAAAGCAGTGCATTTTCGGAGAATCTGGCACGGCAACATAGCCTCCAATCCTATATGACTCTATCCACTTTCACTTTTCATTAGTCTATGTCTATTTACATGCTGTGGTTTATGCTTAAAACCCATTTTGCCTGTCCATTACTTGCATGAAAATTGCAAAAGGACTAAAAGGTGTCTTAAGTTTCTTCAGAAAAAATATGTGGACATGATTCCCATTTACCAGTTTCTCTAGCTTCCCAATATCCTCCTCTATACTGATATGTATCACTACCTTTTGGTTTTCTAAACCACCTTGGTTTCCACCCTTTTTCCTGCATCTGTGATGCCTGCAATGACAACAACTCGTTACACGAAAAACTTCACTCATCCGCGAAGAGAGCAAAAAATGAACTATACTTTTCAAGAATGTGTATGATACATCTAATGAGATTATTCATGAAACTAGCTAAAGTTACCTGACGTTGCCTCTGCTCTAGCCGTAACTTCTCTGAGTTAGCAACTTCATATTCTCCGTTTTCAAGAAATCTTTGATCAGGTCTAAGCCTTGAATCTGTTGGAGGCAACTTTTCCTGTTTGCATAAACCGCGAAAGAAGAGTGTAAACAGATTTTGCATAAACCAGAAGTATCGGTTACATAGAGGACTATCAATTATAGGTACCTCAAGATCAGGAGAGAGCTCATTAAGTGTGATGGCGAAACGTGTAAAGTTATACTTTGTCTGAATATTTGCTTGTTTGCTTTGCTTCCAAAGCAAATACGCCACATCTTGTCCTAAATCCATCGATACATTTGAGTAATTCAAACTTTCATCCCATTTCCCAAACACAGTTGCTGCTGTTTTTCCACTATTATCTTGTACAACTCCATGTACCTATATTAAGTAGGTATAAATTAAACACCGATAATGTGGAACACAAACACCGATATAATGTGGAGGTACACGTACCTGGTGTGGATTCCTATTCATAATCGATTGCTTCTTAAATTTAAGCTTGCAAGAGTAGCCACCACTTCCTTGGATATGCATCGTACCAAAGTGATCACAATAGACTTTCCCTATAACGAGGTTGTAGATGGACGTTGTTACCTGATATATATATAAGTTAAAACATTTCAGCAAGCATGATACATAGATACAAGTAGTCGTTTGCATTACTTGTCGATCCATTACATTACACTTACTTTGCTCCACTGGAATACTTCTCCATCATCGAACTCTAAGTTAAGGACACCAACTGGATCAAGTTGAATCGATGGACCCCAAAATTTGCTTTTTAAATTGGTATCCCCCCACATCTTCCAACCGCGGCCTTCACAGTAGCATGCAAGAATCAAGGGATGATGACTTACCTATGTCAATAGGTTTAAAAGATAAGCATTTAACTGTTGTTTCGTTGAGAAAAAGGAAGTATGAGATCGATTGAACTAGTACCTTCTCCGAGATGAAACGTAGTCCCTTGTCTGGGTAATTGGCTTCATATGTCTCACCTAATAACGGATTAAATGGCTTGAACTTTCTACCTTCTGTGCAAGCATATCCCGATACAGCAAATGCTGCAACATTAAGCATCCTCATAAGGCTATTTCCCTACAAAAAAAAAAAATAGTGTTTGAAGCAATCACATCTCAAATAGCTAAAGTGGAAAACATTGAGTCCAAAGGACTAAGTTCTAGTGGAAAAGGAAAATGCAGAACGTTCACACAACTCGTTGGAAATGCTAACCGTTCTCCCCCATTCATATGCTTGATCAAGAAGGTAAGAGTACTCAAAATCTTCGAAACACTTCTGCAAAGAAGAGAGGGGTTCATTGAAGTAGACAGGAAGACAAACTCTAGTTAGATCTTTCCCGATGTTATCTTTGATCATCGACCAAAGGCTTATTCCCTTTTCCTCATTAACGGGGTCAGGCAATTTCTCTCTTCGCTCTATGTAAGGGTAGTCACATTCGACAAATCTCATAAAAGAACTAAGGCCATCTTCAGATGGCTGAACCTCCCCATTATCTGAATCAAAAGATGAGCTTTCATCATAACAATTGGCGGTTTTTAAGGAACACGTAGAAAGACAATCTAGAGCATCAAAAAACGAGTTATCAGTGTGAACATCATCATCAGTCTCCTCCTGCCTATAATGCTCTTCGTTCGATCTGCTTGTGTTTCCTCCTGCAAAATTTAGCAAGTTATGGTTGCAATGAACTTATGAAACAATATTTCACCTATCATTACTTAATCGTCTAAACCATATTCTTATACTACCAATTTAAATCACTTCTAATGGACTCATTGAGAATGATTCTGATCTAGTTCATGACCTAATAGAAGTAAAGAACACTCTACTGGGATCTTCACGGACAGAAAAAGATTGCAATCAGTTTGATAACAATCAAGTAACATTGCTTCTTCTCATGACTAGCTCACATATTCAAGTTTTCAAACATTTGCACTTACGAAAACAGAGAAAAGAAGAAGAACAGTATAACGATAGCTCTAGTTTTATGAAAACTTCATGACATTAACCTTTCATACCGCTGTCTCGAGTTCCAACCTTGCAATTATTGTTCATTCTAGGGTTATGAACAAAATCACTTGTTATAAATGCCTTCTTTGCTGCAAACAATCCTTCCAACCATATTAACCTATCGTCCTTAGACTCTGCCTTCAATTGCAGCTTCTTCTTCCCAGTAATTATCAAAAACCTTCGATCGTCTGAACAACTTCCCATTACTGTTGAATCCTATATAGATAGTAGTGTTAAAGATAATATCCAACCGAAAATCAAAATCAAAATCAATCTTACAAAGCATTTTCTCATACAACTTATCTACACATACAACACTAAAAATTACGTGACAGTCTGATGCACAAAATATCTCGCATTCATGCAGGGGGTCTAGGGAAGGGACGCATCCCAAGATGTGTAATGTAGACAACATATTCTAATAGTCTTCATATACGTCAAACGTCTTTATTTCTTTCTTAAACTCTGTGCTTATTCGAACACCCTAAAATAATTAAAGGATTCATATCCAAATTAGATTTTTTGACCCTTGTATATAACATAATATCATTATAAATTAGATACCTTGAGGTGGATTTCACGTAATGGTTTACGAGAGAGGAATTGGGAAGACGGAGTTGTTTTACATGTGTTGATGAAACGAAATGATTTCTTCCCTATGACAGTGAAGCCATTCTGTGTTTCGAAATTAAAAACTTTTCCGTTGATTTTATAGTAGAAAAGTACACCGTCATAAAGAACAAACCAACGAGGCCTCCATCCTCTACCAAAATTTGCCCATTTGTATAAAATTCCACAAATTCCATTGTCCAAATTATTACTATTGTTGTTATGTAGTTTGGATGAACGTTTTCCGAGAGGATGATGACGTACCACCACCGTGTTCTTGTCAGCCACGCCGGTGATACAACACAAAAAATGCATTAGCTTTCGCATTAATCAAAAGTTCAAAGGAAAAATTCAAGAGATGAAGAAAAATGACCAATTTATTCAAACTTGTTCTTTTGCCGGGAAAATAGGAGGTTTTTAAATAATGAACGATGAGGAGTAATTAATTATTAATGGTACCAATAAGTTTATTGTTTATAATTGTGATGTTTGGATCAATGTAATTGACTAAAAGATACATATCATTAATTTATATCAATATATAACAGAGAACTCTATTCATTTAATTCAATTTGTTATAGTGTGTTACTCTTTTATTTTATAGAGTTATAATACATATGTAACGTGGCGACATCAACTGATATTTATATTTTTTTAATTTTAGGTGTGAATAAATAAAAAAATAAATTTATATGATATTGAACAAATAGGTTCACATGTACTGCGTAATGTCTAGCAAATCAACTCGAATATATCTCATGCAAATTGTTGTACATAGGACGCTATGTGCACGTTCAATTTCATACGAAATTAAATATCTATTTATGGACATTCAAATTGAAAGACACAGAGGTTAGCTGAGATCAAATTAAGTATCTATTTATGTACATTCATGATTACTACGAAGATTAGGGGGCAATTATCCCTATATAAGAAGAATAAAGGACCATAAAAGCTGAAAATACAAAATAAAGTACCAAATAATACTTTTCAAAAACTTCATAGGTGGAAAAAGTAAAAAAGAAAAAAAAGAATCTCGTTGCCCTAGTTTGTCACAATAAACCCCAGCCACCCCCACAATTTTCTCAAATTTTGAAAAAGTAACCTTTTTGATCTTCTCTCTCGCTTGATCTTCTCTAAGGTATCTTCAAAAACTCATAATTTTTGAAATTTTATTGCTATTGAATCTGAATTTTTGTGATTCAAGCTTGAGCGAGCTTGAATTTTTTGAATTTTTTCTTATTTGATTTTGTTGATTGAAGTTACTGATCAATTTATATTGTTGAAAATTTGGATCTGTGCAATTTTATAGTATGTCCAGTTGATTTGATGTATTTCTATTGGATCTAGATATGAAATTGGATTGTTTTTCACTGTTTGTTAAAGGAATTGCTAAAATTGAATGAGGAAGATATAGATTCGTTCGGGAGATTTATCAATTGTTGCGTGGAATTTATATTTAGATGTTTGATTAATATAATTGAGTTTTTTCTGTATGATGAATATTGTGAAAAGGTGATTTTTGGTGCTTATAGTCCGTGCATGGTGTCGATTTTAAGATTTTTAAGTATTGGAGTTTTAACAGTATAATTTATTCTATGTTCAGTTAATTAAGTGTATTTTTATTGGATCTAGATAAGAAATTGGATAATTTTTCACTATTTGTTATGAGATTTGGTGAAATTGAGAGAGAAAGATATAGATTCGTTCGGCAAATCAATCTATAATTGTGTGGAATCTATATTCCAGAAGTTTGATTAACAAAAAGTAGTTCTTTTATGTGTGATCAGTATTATAAGTATGTGATTTTGGTGCTTCTGGTCCTCATATATTGTCCTTTTAAAACTTCTCAGTATTTTAGTATAACTGTATAAGATGATTTATAGCCTACACACAAATATATATATCGACTTGTTTTAGACAACAAGCTTCATAAGTGTGTCTTTCTTTGTTTAACTCCGTGCCAAGTCAAACAATAGGGACAGTGTGAGTAAAAAGAAAAGCTATTCTTATTTATTGGTTTTACTAGAACTTGATTTGAGCTTCCTCTGAATATGTTATTCTCTGTCCCAGGGATCGTTGTTTACAGTTATGTGTTTATCCTAATTTTTGAAGTGAAAATGTGTTATTTTTAATAAATAAAATCTGCATGCGAGCATGGTGATTCCTTAAGTTGATTTGATACAAAGGAGAAATATGTTGAGCTTTAGACGTTACAAGTGTTTGGTTTGTTTTGAATACTTGACATCTTTTAGTTTCTTGAAGATCAAAACTATTGTACCGTAGTTTATTATGAATTCTTCTTGTTCAGGAGTTTGCTTATGTTTACCATCAATCTGATGATTTTCTGTTTGAACTGCAGTTCCGTAACAATGTCGGATGGTCAGGAGAGCGATAAGAATATTGAGATATGGAAGATTAAGAAACTTATCAAGGCACTGGAAGCTGCTAGAGGCAATGGCACAAGCATGATTTCACTTATCATGCCTCCACGTGATCAAGTATCTCGTGTTACCAAGATGCTTGGAGATGAGTTTGGAACTGCATCAAATATTAAGAGCAGAGTAAATCGACAATCTGTTCTTGGTGCAATCACATCTGCTCAGCAGAGGCTTAAACTCTACAACAAGGTTCCACCAAATGGGCTTGTTCTTTACACTGGAACAATTGTGACCGATGATGGGAAAGAAAAGAAGGTTACTATTGATTTTGAGCCATTCAAGCCCATTAATGCATCACTCTATCTTTGTGACAACAAATTCCACACTGAAGCCCTGAATGAACTTCTGGAATCTGATGACAAATTTGGATTTATAGTGATGGATGGGAATGGGACTCTTTTTGGGACATTGAGTGGCAACACGCGTGAGGTCCTTCATAAGTTTAGTGTTGATTTGCCCAAGAAACACGGAAGAGGAGGACAATCAGCCTTGCGTTTTGCTCGTCTCCGAATGGAGAAACGACATAACTACGTGAGGAAGACAGCTGAGCTTGCAACTCAATTTTATATAAATCCTGCCACCAGTCAGCCCAATGTCTCCGGCCTGATACTCGCTGGTTCTGCTGACTTCAAAACAGAGCTCAGTCAATCTGATATGTTTGATCCTCGTCTTCAGGCTAAGATTCTAAATGTGGTTGATGTTTCTTATGGAGGAGAAAATGGTTTCAACCAAGCAATTGAGCTGTCTGCTGAGATCTTAGCGAATGTGAAGTTTATACAAGAGAAGAAATTGATAGGCAAGTACTTTGAGGAGATTAGTCAGGACACTGGGAAATACGTCTTTGGAGTGGATGATACATTAAAAGTTCTGGAAATGGGTGCTATTGAGACACTTATTGTGTGGGAAAATCTGGATATTACTAGGTATGTGCTGAAAAATAGCGGTTCTGGAGAAACTGTTGTCAAACACTTGAACAAGGGGCAGGAGGCTGATCAGAGTAACTTCCGTGATCCTGCTACAAATGCAGAATTAGAGGTTCAGGAAAAATTGTCACTGCTCGAGTGGTTTGCTAATGAGTACAGGAAATTTGGTTGTAGTCTGGAGTTTGTGACCAACAAGTCACAAGAAGGATCTCAGTTTTGTCGAGGTTTTGGTGGTATTGGAGGACTCCTCCGTTATCAGCTTGATGTTCGAGCTTTTGATGAGCTTTCTGATGATGGTGAAGTTTACGAAGACTCAGACTAGCAATTACCAACTTCTCAAATACCAGTGCAGAAGTTGAGCGGGAAAGCCTGTACTGGTGTGCAAGGGCTGTCGCCTTATTTGTACGCTCATGTTCTAAGTGAAATATTTCTAAGAGCTCTTAAGGTAAGTGGAAGAATCAATTTTCATTATTCTAATCGCGTTTATTCCTCCTATGTATAATGGTCTGTAAAGCTTGTTTCTAATATGTATTAACCAGATGGATGATCTGCACGAACCTAAATTGGCGTCAATTTCACCACTCGCGTGCTGAATCGCGATGAGTTCCAGGCTGATTCGGGCTGTTGAATCTCCGGAGAATTATCATTTTCTCCTATGCTAAATTAAAATTTAATTTTATATCATATTTTATTTATGTAAGGTAGAACTATTAGTCCAACCCTTTTAATTTCTCAGTTGATTATGTCTTTGCAAATTCCTTAAGGTTTTATTAATTAGTGCAATTTTTATTCATATATCAAAGAAACACCTCTTCTTTCTTACTCAAAAGTTGGAATGAACTCAATATATGTTACATATCAAATTCATTTAGACATTGAAAAGTCTATATGGTCATACATAAAAATGTAAGAGATATTTCATAAATTCTGTGATTTATTTGATAATGATATTGTTTTCAGCTTAGCTCTTCGAAGACTATTTATTTATTTACTTAAATTTTTGTCATTTTGTCTTATCAATAATAAATATATTAGTTTAATATGTCCTTAGATATTTAACCAGTCGCTATACTATTAAACTGTCAAACTATTTTATATATAGGTAAAAGTTTATTAGGTAAAAATGTGATAAATCCAATTAAACTAAATTGAAAAAGAAAACAAATATTCAATTGCTACTTGAAGACAAGAAATTAAAGTAGATACATGTATCTTGCCAAGTTATTGTTCATTAATTATCTTTTTTTTATACTATCTCCGTTTATGTTTAATTTTCATAATTTTTATTTTTAGAGTCAAATTAGAATAACTTTGAATATCATTTTAAGATATATTTTTCCATCATATTGATATGAAAAAAATTGTAATTTATAGTAGTACTTTTCTTATAATTTTTGAATACCTATATTTCTTGTAGAAAATATCAAATTAATATAATCTAATTTAATTTTAAAAATTAGTCAAATTGACTTTCAAAAAGCGCAACATGACAAATAAAAGTGGACGGGAGAGTATATATTTATTTAAATATTATTTGACCTTCCAAGTTTAATGTGACTTTACGTATATTGTTATTTTTGTCCTATAAATTCAGCTCTTCCAGAAAAGTTTCTTATGCACTACTTCTACAATTCTTATGTGTATGAGCTCTAAATTGGTGAAATCTCCCTTTTCAGTCATGAGGATGGATAAGAATTCAATTACTAAAACATGGTCTTTATCTCTATTTATATAATTATATTGCTGCTTTGCTTATAACTAGTTTTTAGTTTAGGATTTTTTTGGTGTTAAAAAACAAATTGATTGTTGCATTAGATTTTGTTAGAATTTCATAATCAAGACAAAATCGAAAAAAAATAATTAATTGTCTTGCTTATGTATTTCTTTTTTGTTCTTGTATTGTATATCACCTTTAAGAATAAATTTGATAGAATGGTTACTCTTTTTTTTTATTATTTAAAGTTGAAATATATTGAATTA